TCCCTTGGAACTGGAGTTACAGGTGGTTGTGAGTTGCCATGTAGATGCTGGGAATCAAACCCTGGTCTTCTGCAAAAGCAACAGTCATTTTTAACCACTGAGTCATCTCTTCAGCCCAAGATTTACTTTGTGTGTGTGTGTGTGTGTGTGCAGGTCCTGATGGAGGCCAGAAGAGGGCGTCAGATTCCTCCTAGAGCTGGAATTACAGGTTGTTGTGAAGCACCTAGCATAGGTGCTGGGAATCAAACTCTGATCCTCCACAAGGACCATGTTCTTAACTTGTGAGCCATCTTTCCATCCCTAGCTTACTGTTTTCAGTGTTTATCCACATTGGAGCACAGATCATAATTCCCTTCCATTTTTGTCATTGTATGGACATGGCCCGCATCTATTGATACACATTAGGGTATTCCCACCTTTGGCTGATGTGAATACTGTTGCTATGGACATTTCACGTACACGTTTTGTTTGACTGCAGGGATCGAGCACAGCATCCGTGTCTTCTAGTTAGGTGCTCATGAGTGAAAGACTTGACTATGGTATGATGGAGTTGTCCCAAGTTCCCTTTGTCTGTCCTGCCTTTTGCACTGAAGTTCCTATCTCCCTTGAGTGTCCTTGGGCCCAGGTAAGCCAGGATGGTTGGTCACCCTTTGGTGGCTTGCTTAAGCTCACCAGTAGAAGACCCATGTTCAGGATGAAGATCTGATTCCTCATTTACTGCTCCCTCCATGGTCCAGCTCCAGGCAGTCTAACAGCTTGGTATTTCAGTTGTGAGTCAAAAAAATAATGGAGACTGGAGCTCTGTTCAGCCGTGAAGGAGGATGAAATTGCGTCATTCACAGGAAAATGGTCAGAGCCCGAGAACATCAGGTTAAGTGAATTAGCCAGGTTTAGAAATTCAAATATCTAGCCGGGCGGTGGTGGCACACGCCTTTAATCTCAGCACTCTGGGAGGCAGAGGCAGGTGGATCTCTGAGTTCTAAGCCAGCCTAGTCTACAGAGTGAGCTCCAGGACAGCCAGGGCTACACAGAGAAACCCTGTCTTGAAAAGCAAACAAACCAATCCAACAAAACAAAAAACCTCTAGTATACAACATCTGGATTAAAAAGTACACATGGGTGTATGTATTCACACACACACACACACACACACACACACACACACACACTATGAAAATAGAGGAGGACAATTTGGGGGAAGAAAGGGGACAAGAAAAGATCATGAGAAGTTAATGAGTGTGAAGTACAATCACTTACAAGTGTGGACATGTCATCATGAAACTGACATTTTATTATGCACACTAATGGAAAATTTGTGATAAGTGTATGTTCTTTGTAGTCCCCTGTGATCAGGGATGGTTTCAGGACTGTTCGACTCTAATTTTAGAATAATTTCCTCAGAGCCTTCTAGAATCTCTCTGTCTCCCTTCCTCCCTCTCCCTCATCCTTCCTTCCATCTCCTTTATTCCCAGACTGTGTTAGCCTGACAGGTCTCTCCGATCGATCCTGACTCTCTCACGGATGGTGGATTATTGCTAGTATTTTTTTTTTTATCTGTCTGTCACCCATCCTTCCTTCTTTGGGTAATAGCATCCCCCTTTCCTTTGGAGGACCACCCAGCCTCTGATTTCGTGCAACAAGGTTTGGGTAGTGAGGGCTGTCAGCCCTTCAGCAGTTGACCTCACAGCCCACGCCACCCAGTCCCCTTGACTGCCAGGTCTGGCTCAGGAGACTGTATTGACTCATGCAGGACACCCACAATGAATCCTCCAACGTTTGCTAGCTGTAACGGGGAGAGACTCTGATACAGTCGCTAAGATTACTGTTAGGTTCAGGTATGGTGTTGCACACCTTTAATCCAACCATTAGGGAGGCAGAGGCAGGCGGATCTCTGTGAGTTCAAGACCAGCTTGGACTACAGAGTGAGTTCCAGACTAGTCAGAGCTACACAGTGAGACCATGTCTAAATAAAGAATTCTCTTATCTTGGTCTCGGCCTGAGAAAAAGCTACCCACAAGGATACCCCACATAGAAGGAAGAGCTCAGAGTCCTGGTTCAGAAAGAAATGTGGCCAGCCTTTGTGACATACCTCCCTTGAACTTTTTTTCACACAATCACCTTTTGACTACACTGGTTTATCCTTTGCAACTGAAAACAATTAATTTATGTCCTACACACAAAGTGTCACACCTGGCCCTGTGTTCCAGGCAAGAAATTACACATACCTGCTGTGGTAGCACACGCCTTTAATCCCCACACTCTGGAGGCAGAAGCAAGGAGATCTCTGTGAGTTGGAGGCCAGCCTGGTCTGCATAGTGAGTTCCGGGACAGCTGGGGCTACACAGAGAGGCCCATTTCAAAACAGAAGAAAACAAAACCACCACCACAATAACAAACAACAAAAAGGAATTACACCCTGTGACTTTCTGTGACTGGTTTCTGGCATTTAACATAGCACTTTCTTCTTCTTTTTAAAGAGTTTATCTTTTTCTTGTTGTTGTTTTTGGTTTTTTTGTTTTTAAAGACAGGATTTCTCTGTGTGGCTCTGGTTGTCTTGCAATTCACTCTGTAGACCAGGCTGGCCTCAAACTCACAGAGATCTGCTTGCCTCTGCCTTCTGAGGGCTGGGATTAAAAGCGTGTGCTACCAACGCCCGGCTGAGTTTATCTTCTTTTTGGTTATGTTTGGGTCTGTGCAGGTGAACCCAGGCATCTGAGGGGGCCGGGAGAAAGCATTGGCTCCCTTGGCGCTGGAGTTAACAGGTGGCTGTGAGCCATATGATGTGGCTGCTTGGGACTGCTTGTAAGGCAGTTTATTAGTGGCCGGATAGGTGGCTCAGTGGTTCAGAGCACGTACTGTTTGTTCTTCCAGGGAATCTGAATTCGATTCCTAGCACTCAGGTTGGACAATTTATAACCTCCTCTAACTCCAGCTCTAGGAGACCCCACATCTTCTAGACTCCTGGGGCACTGTAGACATATACACATACCCACTCACAGATGCACATGCATACACATAATTAAAAATAATAAAATAGGGGCTGGAGGGGTGGCTCAGAGGTTAGGAGCACTTGGCTGTTCTTCCAGAGGTCCTGAGTTCAATTCCCAGCAAACACATGTTGGCTCAGAACCATCTGTAATGAGATTTGATGACTTCTTCTGGCCTGCAGCTACACATGCAGGTAGAACACTGTATATCGTAATAAATAAATCTTTAAAAAATAATAAAATAAAATAGCTGGGTGGTGGTGGCACATACCTTTAATCCCAGCACTTGGGAGGCAAAGGCAGGTGGATCTTTGTGAGTTCAAGGCCAGCCTGGTCTACAGAATGAGTTCCAGAACAGCCAGGGATACACAGAGAAATCTTGTCTCTAACTAACTAACTAACTAACTAACTAACTAACTAACTAACTAACTAACAGAATTAGTGAAACCATTCCAGGCCTGTAATTACAGAGACTTGGGAAGCTGAGGCAGGAGGATCACAAGTTCACAAATTCAGGACTGCCTGGTCTATAATATAAAGTGAATAGGCCAGCCTGAGAAATTTAGTGAATCCCTGTCTCAGGACTGGGGTGTAGCTCAGTGGGGTAGAATCTTGGATTAATATGCATGAGGCCCTGGGTTCAATCCAGCATTGCATTAAAAAAAAAGAAAAAGAAAAAGAAAATAGGTCCATTTAAGATAAGTCATGAGCTGGAGAATTGAAGAAATTGGGCTCTCTGGGTTGCTGGTTGGGGATGTGAAATGGAACGTCTGCTTTGAGAAACAGTTCAACACTGTCTCAAGAAGCTAAACACAGAATTTCCATTTAACCCAAAACCCTGCTCCTGGGGATATACTGAGAAGAATTAACAATGAGGGTGGAGCCTGCCAGTAGTGGTGCATGCCTCTAATCCCAGGGAGGCAGAGGCAGGCAGATCTCTGTGAGTTTGAGGCCAGTCTAGTCTACAAAGCAAGTTCTAGGCCAGTCAGAGCTATACAGAGAAACCCTGTCTCAAAAAGCCAATAAAATAAAATATTTTTAAAAATGGAGGTGGATGCTCACAGAAGACATAAGGCATTAAGTGAAAATCTTATTGCCAGAAGTAGGTTACTTTCCTATGGGCTATGGAGTCCCAGAGAACCAGAGGATCCCCCTATCCCAGTAATGCAGGTTGTTGTCATTGTTCTTGGCTTCCCACTCAAGCTAGGTGACAGGACCTATTGCTGAATAGATCACATGCTCTGGTGTCAGGCCAACGAGGCATCAAGCTGGACCTGAATTGGAAGCTTCCTCCCTCCTGGCTAGCTTTCATAGTGTTGAAAAGAGTTGGGTGGGTCTGTCAGGAAGAAAAGTCACCAACAGCCTGACCCAGCTGTCAACGCTGTGTGCTGCTGGTATAACAGCGGCACCACTGTTATGGGGGGGCATGCTGTGGGATGGTCCTTCTGTACGCTGTGAATATGTATACTCTCATTGGTTAATAATAAAGTTGTTTGGCCTATGGCAAGGCAAGAAGAGGCTAGGGTGAACAATCAAACTGAGGACTTGGATGACTGGATGAAGAAGGTGGAGAGAGAGAGAGAGAGAGAGAGAGAGAGAGAGAGAGAGAGAGAGAGAGAGGAGGGAGCTGCCCAAGAAGCAAGATGCCAGAGGACTGGTAAAGCCACGGCCACATGGCAATACATAAATGAATTAATTTAAATATAAGAGTTAGTCAGTAATAAGCCCAAGCTATAGGCCGAGCATTTTGTAATTACTTTAAGTTTTAGTGGTGTTTATTTGGGGCCAGGCAGTCGGGCCAGAAAACTGCCTCCATTTATGGGGTAGACAACTGTTTTCTGATTGAACCTGAGGCCTGCTGCACATGAGAGAATTCATACATGGCACTATGAACCTGGTCAAAACCCCATGGTTAGGGAGGTTATAAACCTTGGGACAGAACCTATTCCTGCTGTCTTGCTAAATGGCCATGCTGTAAAACTGACTTCTAAATATTTGTGTCTGTATCTGCAGATTAGTGCTGCCTCGGTCTCGGTCAGAGAAACATCTACTTACAGTGGGCAGCAGTTAATGCAGACTCACTGCTGGCCAATATCCCGAGAACAAGTCACTGTTGAGTACTCAGCCCCCAAAGTGACATCTGTGTCACCGCCTCCACGCCTCAAGGAACATCAGTTGAAGAGGGGGCGGGAAACACATGAGAGCCAGAAGACAGTAAGGAGAGCAGGAGAGGATACAGCCATTGCACACAATAGCAGCGGTGATTCCCTGCTTAAGACCTGTGCAAGACAGGGCCCATTATGGATGGGGAAGGACGCAGGAGACCCCCTCCCCAACCTGAGAAGGGTATTTTCTTTTCTTTTTTCTTTTCTTTTTTTTGGTTTTTCGAGACAGGGTTTCTCTGTGTAGCTTTGCGCCTTTCCTGGAACTCACTTGGTAGCCCAGGCTGGCCTCGAACTCACAGAGATCCGCCTGACTCTGCCTCCCGAGTGCTGGGATTAAAGGCGTGCGCCACCACCGCCGCCCGGCTTTTCTTTTCTTTTTTAAAAATAATTGATTTCTATTTTATATGCATTGGTGTATTGCCTGCATGCATGTCTGTGTGAGGGTGTCAGATCCCCTGGATCAGGAGTTTATAGACAGTTGTGAGCTGCCATGTGGGTGCTGGGAATTGAACCTGGGTCTTCTGTGTGGGTTACACACATAAAAATTTGGAAGTAGGAAGGAAACATATTGGGAAAAGAGAAGGTTTAGTAAGAGTGGAAATGAAGATGGCGGGGTGGGGGGATGGGGTGGCGGGGGTAATGGGTGTGGGCGATTGTAAGCAAATATATACATGTATAAAACTGTCCAAAAATAAATAAATTAAAAAAAACAGAAAACTTGTGTGGCTGGAGAGAGGGCTCAGCAGTTAGGAGCACTGACTCCTCTTCCAGAGGACCCAGGTTCAACTCCCAGCACTCACAAGGCAGCTCACCACTGTCTGTAATCAGTTCTAGGGGATCCAGTGCCCTCTTCTGGTTTTCATGGGCACTGCATGCGTGTGGTGCACAAGGACAAAAAGGTTGGGTAGCTGATACTGCTTGACAAGAACTTTCATTGAAGTTGAAATGCGTGTCTTTGGGGGCTTCGAGGGGCTCCCCTTCTGTCCTGAGTGCTGCAACCGAAACACACTGCATACCACGGAGTCCTTAACTCAGAAAGCCAGCATAAATCACTGGGCCAAATGGCCCGTTCCCATGAGCCCAGATGATCCCGACCTGGACACAGTGACCCACTTACACCAGAAACGAAGATGCAGAAGCAAAAGGCCCCGAAAGGTGAACTCTAGAAAAACAGTTTTCCTTGATGTCAGAGAACCCTGACAAGATTAAAGAGGGGAACATTTTGTTTGCTCTGATCAAAGCTATTTTTAAAGTCATTTATATTTGGGGGTTCTGTGCGTTAGTTAGAACAGGATCACAGTCCCTGTGCAGCTGCGAGAGGTTTTGTTGTCTCTCGGGGGCTTCTGGTCCGATGCTATTCCATCTGTAAAACTGGTAGGAAGGAAAAAAAAAAAAAGGAAAGTACAAAAAGAAACAGCCTGGGAAGATTAACACAGGCATTCAAGGAAAACAAGAGCCTGGGGACCTGGCTCTTGATCAGAACTGTTTGCTCAGCATCACAGAGGCCTGAGTTTGATCCTCAGCACTGCATAAACCACCCATGGTGGTGGCACAAGCCTGTCATCCTATCACTTGGGAAGTGGGGGCAGGAGGATGAGAAGTTCAAGGTCATCCTTGGCTGCATAGTGTTTAGGAAGTCAATGTAGGTCCTGTGTAGCTCCAGGTGGATGGCCCTTTTGCCTCCTAATTCACCACTCCCCAATTTGTGAGCCCAAGGCAATTTGGAAAACCGTGAGGCCAGCTCATCACCAATCAAGCAGGGGGTGGAGAGTTTCACTTTTCTGGTGTTCCAGAATTTCTGTTGAACCTCCAAGGTGATGGGAGAGGGTGAACTTTCTCTCTGGTGGAGAGGTGGGTCAGGCTTGTCCGGTGACCGTCTGTAACTCGCAACCTCCAGCCTAGACATGATAAAGTCAAGATCTTATCTAGACGTTTCTCTGACAGGGTTATCCTGTTCCCCAGGGGTCAGGTGACAATCTTAAAGCATGTTTGGGCTTGAGCCACCCTGAAAAGACTGAGCCAAGGGGCTCTGGGAGCTGTGGGGTGCTTCCTAAGGGCAAGAATGGAAAGGAGGACTTGGAAGGTCATCACGGTGTGTCTTAACCCTGGCAGGGCTCTCAGATCTTTAGGTCACTAAGGATTCCCTGTGTACACCTGGGATCAGCAGGTAGGCAGCTGGCAGGACCCAATGAGGCAACTGACACTCTGTATCCATCAGTTCTCAGAGAGGAGGCGCCCTTTCCTGCTCAGCCCTGCAAGTGATGGGGAACAGGCAGGGAAGGAAATATCCAACCCTACCTGGAGTTCACTGCAGACTCCTGAACCGTCTGGGGTTACATCTCAGCACTGGAAGAGGGAGCAGGGTCATAGGTTCCAAGTTATCCTCTGCCATATAGTAAGTTCCAGGCTATAGGCTATGGGAGACCCTGGAGAGGGGGTCAGGGAGGGACAACAAGATTTTTACTGAATCTGTCCCTTACACACTAGGACTGTCTGAGCAGATCAAAGCATGGTTAGAAAGACTCTCCAGGAAGACTAGAGAGAGACAGCCTGGGCTGTGAGGCCAGGGATGATGCCCAAAGCAACTGTAAGCCATGCCTGTGAACACAACGTCAGGCCCCTCAGCATGGACATCACAACTCGTGTGGGACTGGGCACCTGAAAGCCTGTGTGTTGGTCTGCACGCTCCCATCAGATTCCTCTCCACTCTCTACTTTCCATAAAAAAACCCCACGTGCTGTGTCTCATGGGCAGAGTCGGATCCCAAGTACTTGATTGCTAGAAAAGTTCTGAAAGAGATCTTTAGGGCCTGCAAGATGGTTCAGGGGTAAAGGGGCTTGGTGCCAATCCTAAGGACCTGAGTTGGATCCCTGGGACCTCCATGGTAGGAGAAGACTGACTTCTGCAAGATGTCCACTCTGTCTTATTGCATACAGAGAAACACAGCCCATATGTGTACACTGTGCATACACACACACATCTATAAATAACACATATAGTAAAGATTAATACAAATTTATTAGTGAATCCTAAAAAAAGGTTATTTCTCCTATAGAGAGGTGGTGTCCACAATGTGGGCTGTTTTCAAACGGGACAAAGAGGCATTCACTGTTGCTCTGCCGACTGATGACTTCTGATTATTTTCATCATCTAAGCTTCAGTGGAAATATCTTTGATGACAAGCAGAGAAGCCATTTCGGAACAAGATCAAACCCAGTCCCACCATCACTATTGACTCCTGCTAAACTCTCTTAAGAGATCTGTGGAAGACACCGGGACCAGAGGGGCCACATTTCGGGATTCCGGAGACAGGAGAATTGTAAGTGGGTGAGCTGATATGGGTGCCGGGAAAGAGGCTGAGAAGATAAACTTTCACCAGGTGAGTGGACTGTTGCTGAGGTGGGGGCAGGGCAGAGAAACCAGAAGAACTTGTGTCCATCTCATTAGTCCTGTGGGGACAAACAAGGGACTTTTGGGAGGTTGATCTCCCAGAGAAGAACAGAAAACGAGTCTGAAAATGGCATTTTTTAGCTTGGGATAACTGGCGGGTTTGGATAACGCCACAGGGCAAAAGGCTGAGAAGCCATGGAGGAAGTTCCAGAAAAACAAAACAGTGTTCAAAAATCTTGTCATACTTTGGGAATTGGGACACAGGGGCAGGGAGAGGGGACTCTGTGAACAAAGAAGATGGCGCCACCTTGAAACAGAAACACACCCTTCACCCAGCTCAGCCAACTAATGGAGTTGTGATCATTCCCCATTTCTCTTCAGGGCCAGACAGCATCATTTAGAGACTCTATATATGTCTCATACACAGCATCTGGCACGAAACAAAAATTCAACAAGGCTCACTAAGAGATAGGGCCAGATCACTGAAAACAAAGAGAAACATAGTAACTAGAAAGAGCCTCATCAGAGGACAGGGGCTGGAGTCAGAGAAGGTTTGAACATAACCAATGTTAATATGTTCAAGGGAAACAAAGGAAAATGGAGAAAATAGGAGGGCAGACAACTTTGCGGTTGAACGGGACTCTATACTTCAGAGTGCTTAAAATCGGTGGCCTGCCCTCATTATGGATAGAGAATGTTTTCTGTGTGTGGTGCTGGGGACCGAATCGAATCCAGGACCAGGGCATGCTGGTAAAGTGCTCTGTCACTGAACCACACCCCCAGCCCCAACAGAAATGGACATACTGATTCAACTCCATGTGAATTCTAAAGCCCGTGGCTCAAAGTCTTAGAAAATCAAGTTGATCCAACTTGGCTGCCAGTGGTGTCCATTCTCTTCACACCGCAAGTAGCTTTCTCTAGGGATGACAAACTTCTCTAGAGATGACAAACTTTTGCGTAAGTTCTGACTCTTAACACTGCTCTTAGCAAAACTTCCTAGAATCCCAGAGATGGAAGAAAAGGATGCCTTTTGCCAATATATTCCCCTCCCCTTCTCCCCTGAGGGGATTTTACTATGTCGCCAGGCTGACCTCAAAGTCCTTGGTTTAAGCAATCCTCCTGCCTCAGCCTCCCAAGGGGTTGGGGCTTCAGGTACATGCCATACCAGGCTACTCATTATTGAAAACACAGCCCGTGGGCAGTTCATTAGGGATGCTATTTGATGATTCAGTCAGAGATGGGAGGCCTCCTTGTGATAACGTTAGACTTCACCCTGAACGACAAGAAAAAAAAGTCAGAAGAGAATTGGGGTGAAGTGTGGTCTGGGCAGAGTTTGTATAGAGAACACTGATTTAATCAGGAGTTGGCATAGCTCCCTGGAATGAGCCAGATAGTAAATATTTTAGCCGCCATGAGCCATGTTATTTCTGCTGTCACCATTGGCTTTACAATGGGGGTGAAGTAGCCATACACCATTCAAAAGTGGGTGGTAATTGTGAGGTAGCAGCCTCTCCAGCTGTCCATATGCTCTCCTGATGGATGCCACTTTCCTAATAAAGCCCCCTGGGGGTAATTCGTCTCAGTCCCCTTCTATCCAAACTATAACACGATCTTTTTTTTGAGACAGGGCCTCACTAGGTAGCCCTGGCTGGCCTGCAACTCACTATATAGACCAGCCAGCTGGACTTGAACTCCCAGAGATCCACCTGCCTCTGCCTCTCTAGTGCCGGGATTAAAGGTGGGCGCCACCGCATGCAGCTGAGAAGAAAGGCTATATCTTTTTATTAATTCATAACAGATTGGTGGAGAGAACTCAGCCAGGACGGACACCTAAGTTCAATTCCTGGAACCCATGGTGGAAGGAGAGAATTGACTTCACAAGCTGTGCTCTGACCTCACAGGCACACTGCGGTGCACGTGTCCCCGTCCCCCACCCCATCAATTAATAAAAAGCATATATCTGTAACAGAGGCACTCCAGCAAAACTTTGTTAACTGCATTGTGAAATGTGAATTTCTTATATCTTCCCTCTTCTTTGTCACAAAGTATCCTTCCCCGCCCTCAACGTCTTTACTCCGGTGTGTCCTTTACTCCCGTACCCTAGGCGGCTGACAAAGGGTAGGGTTAGTAGCTGGAGTTAACACTCCACAGGCCCCTGTGGGACAAGGTAGCAATTGCGAGCAAGGCAAAGCCTCCTGTCTCTCCGCCAATGGACCCTAGCTAGATCAGGCCCAGGTAGTTGTGGTCCCCAGATCCGCCCCAACTCAGGGAAACCCATTAAGGTTTGTCTCTCTCCCCGACCCCTGATCGCCCCACCGCCTCCCCCAAGCCACAAGAAGACACCCGCAAGGCCAGGCGGGGCGCACAGACTTGCAGAGCCCAGCAAGCCCGGCGCGCACCTGCTCCCGGGCCCCCGCGCACCTGCTGAGCCGCGCTCCGGCCTCGTCTCGCGAGATCCGGGCTGGCGTAGTGGCCCCCACCCCCACCCCGGCCACCGAGTACCTCTCCCCGCCCCCGGGCCCGGCCTCCCCGCCACCTCGGGGACCAGCCCGCTAACCCCCCCCTTCCCACCCCCCACCGCATCGTAGCGGCTGCGCTCAGCACGCGAGCCCCTCAGTCCCAAGGGACCCCGCCTCCCAGGCTGGAGGGTGGCCCGGCGGGCAGGTGCACGCGCCGCCTGCCCCCAGCGGGTCCCAGGCGCGCCCGGGGTTGGGGGGACCCGGGGACCGGCTGCGCGCACGGCGCCTCTCGGCGCTGCATCCCTCGCTCCGCTCCCCACCCCGCCCTGTGATTGACAGGCAAGATGTCGGTGTGGAGCGAGGCAGGAGCCGTCACCCCTGGAGCCCGGCGGCGGCGGCAGCAGCAGCAGCAGCAGCAGCAGCAGCAGCAGCAGCAGCAGCAGCGACAGCGGCAGCGGCAGCAGCAGCAGTGTTGTCGCGGGGAGCAGACCGCAGCCAGCCGCAGTGGGCGCCGCAGCCGCGCCAGTCGTGCGCACAGCATCCTGAGAGCGCGCTGAGCGCGGGGACCCGCGGACCATGCCGTGTCACCGCGACCGGGAGGGGGGCAGGCGCGCTCCTTTTTGACATAAAAGCCAGCCGGCCAAATAGATTTATATCCATATAATTCCGCCCTTCACGGAGCCGGTGTGCGAAGCGTGAGCTCTATTTCCCTCTGCCTCCTCCTTCCACTCCTCCTCCTCCCCTTCCTCCTCCTCGCCCTCCTCCTCTTTCTCCTCCTCCTAAGTGTACAGACTGCACCCTACCACCTGGTTGGCTTCTGACAAACGGGCATCTCTCCCTTTTTAGGGACCAGAGACACAGAGAAAGAGAGAGGAGAGAGACAAGGGACATTCTAATGCAGACTGCCTGATACTCCCCCCTCCAAAAAAAAAATAATAATAAATTTTGGCTCTTGTCCCCTCCTCCAACCCCCACCCCCTCAAGCTTGTGTGAGATGTTGGGTTTCTTCAGGAGACACTGCTGAGAAGTCGCAGTGGTTGGAGAGGCGTAGGGGGGTGGACTCCCTCTACCTCCTCTCCCTCCCTCCCCCTTTTTTCTTTCTGGGAGGAGGTGGAGGAGGAGGAGGAGGGGAAGGGGGGTTGCAGAGCGAGCGATGGATGAGGAAAACATGACGAAAAGCGAGGAGCAGCAACCTCTGAGTTTGCAAAAAGCCTTGCAGCAGTGCGAGCTGGTTCAGAACATGATAGACTTGAGCATCTCCAATCTGGAAGGGCTTAGGACGAAGTGTGCAGCTTCCAACGACCTCACGCAGAAGGAGATCCGGACCCTGGAGGTAGGTGTTGCCTGGGATGGGGTCGGGGCGCGCGCGCGCGGGGGGTGGGGGGGGGGGCGCAATCCTTCATTCCTTTCCCCTCCTCCAGTCCGTCCCCATCCCTTTGGGGTTCTGTTTGTTGAGGGAGGGCCTGGGGAGGGGAAGGGTAAAGCAGGTGGGCACGAATGATGCGCTATGATTTATCACCCGGCAAAGCCAGCGCGGATGTCCCTTCCCAGTGCGGCTGTTGTCTGTGCTCGGCCGGGTGGCGGTGGTAGCAGTAATAATTGCTGTTCCGTATTTATTATTATGGGTTGTAGCTGTTGCCATGATTATTCTTTTCCTGTGGGAGGAGGGAGGGAGTTCTTTATTATTATTATTATTTTTCTTTTCTTCTTTTTCCCTTTTCTTTGCGTTTGGGGATTTGTTTATATGCCATGGGGGCTTGTGTGCTGGGAGACACGTTAAGAAGCTGCAGGGAACCCACGTGACCTTGTGCGTTCTGCAGGTGGTCAAAGGTGGTTTTGACTGGTTTGATGGGGCTGCCTGAATGGAAAGACTCGACCCTTTGCTCTGTGTCTCACCCCTCACCCTCCATATACACCTTAGGAAACCACATGCAATAGAAGAAAAAAAAAATCCCCAGGGAACTACCCATTTCTAACACAATCATTTGATGTAAGGGGATTGATGCAGGCCCAAAACGTGTAAAAAGAAACGATATTACGGTTGCCTGGAGTGGTTCTTGCACTAGGTGGCGTGGGAAAAATCCTCTTGGGTTGTCTTGGTGAGAGTTGGTGGATGGGGGTCCAGGAGAAGGAGCTATGTCTGGCTCTCTGTAGCATCTCTCCGACAGAACTTGAGTGGAGTTGGAAGCAGTTTGCTGAGAGACGGTGACAGAGAATTGCTACAAAGTTACCACAGAGAGATGGAAGGAACTCTTTTTTCCTTCAAAGGCCATTTTCTCAGAGGAAGCTTTCAGGGTTTTGGGAAAGGCCTGGTGTTCTGAAATCCTTGGGCATCCACCTTGTTCAAAATGTCAGATGGATCCAGCCCCCTCACCTTCCTTCCCACAAAATGGCCCAGCTGTCCACATTGCTTGATTTAATTTGGGAATTCCCACTAGTTGGCATTTGCCAGGGGGGTGGTGTGTGGAGCTCAGAGCAAAGGAAGGTTCCCCTTTTAGTGGTACCCCCGCCATGTATCATGGAGCTTGGTGGTGCGGCTGGTCTTTGGCTTGTGAGTTCCTGAAGCCTGAAGTCTTCAGTCTTGGCTGACCGGGTCATCTGCTTGAATGTGCCTCTCTGATTCACTTCCAGGCCTTTTATTTTCCCTGTGTGGTTTTAAATGTAGCCAGATAGTCAGGATGCTGGAGGCTGGCTATCATTTGGAAAGAGGAGTTCTCGTGTGTGTATATTTTAATACCACGCCTGCCATCCTCGGATATATGTCTCTGCTCACCTGTCAGGTGGTAACAGGATCCCAGGGATGAAATAAGATAAATGTTAATGTGGGAAGAGTGTTGGGAGGCACAGGCATTGCCTTCCTCAGAGTTGAGAGAGAGAGAGAGAGAGAGAGAGAGAGAGAGAGAGAGAGAGAGAGAGAGAGCGAGCGAGCTTGGCTAACGTTTGCTGCTGGAAGAAAAAGTGTGGGATGTGTTAGCCCAGCCCCGGTCTCTGCACAGGGCCCACAGCAGATTTGGTTCAGAACTATAACCAGGACAGCGTCCATAGACAACCCCTGAAGGCCGCCACCACGACATCTCTTCTACTCTCTGTCACCAAGAGCCTCCATGCTAGGCTGTGACTATTACAGCTTACATTTCTCACATGTTTCCTTCTGTCCCATCTTCTGAGGACTCCCAAGAGATGGTGATTGATACGGCTGGGCGCTCTGTGGTTGGGGAGGTAGCTCAGTGGTCCAGCGCTTTTGTAGCATGCACAAGGCCTCAGGTTCAATCTCCAGCACTGTGCAAACACACAAACCAACTGTGGCACTTGGTTCTGTCTGGTCTCTCTGCAAGGTGGTTTACATTTTGAAACTGGGGGACAGAAGTCCTGGTGTGCTGGTCAAGAAGTTGGAATCACAGGTGTCTTAGTCAGGGTTCCTGTTGCTGTGGTGGAAACACCGTGACCAAAGCAAGTTGGGGTGGAAAGGGTTTTTTTCGGCTTACCCTTCCATATTATAGTCCGTCATTGAAGGGAGTCAGAACAGGAACTCAAACAGGGCAGGAACCTGGAGGCAGGAACTGATGCAGAGGCCATGGAGGGGTGCTGCTCACTGGCTTGCTCAGTCTGCTTTCTTAAAGAACCCAGGACCACCAGCCCAGGGATAGTATCACCTACAACGGGCTGGGCCCTCCCCCATTGATCACTTATTAAGAAAATGCCCTACAGGTGGATATAATGGAGGCATTTTTTCAGTTGAGGTTCCTTCCTTTCATTTACTTAAGTTTGTGTCAAGTTGACGTAAAACTAGCCAGCACGATAGGGAATACATCTTTTTCTGAGGGTACCACAGGACACACCAACCACTTGATCCATATTGTCCAGTGACTGTTCTGGAGCGACTATGCCGATTTTGACTTTCTAGTTCTCTAAGACCAAGGGGTTAGGGGAGGAGCGCCAGGGAAGGTGTGGTCCCGCTAGAATTTGCATTCACTGAGCTTTCTACCCTAACATCTATGAAAGCCTCATGGGGGTGCTGGCTAAAGTGTGGATGCCCAGCACCTAATGGCCACATTCTAATTTAGCTGAAAGTGGAGAGCGGGCCCAGGAATCTGCATTTAGTAAGCAGACAGTGTGCTTCTGTGTGTAAGTTTTCTTTGGTGGTGCTGGGAATTGACCCCGGGACCTTGTGAATGCTAGCAAGGGCTCTACAGCTGACTATATCCCCAACCCCCAGGTTTCTGATTCAGGTTTTGATAGGGTTACTTTATGAATTACTTATCCAAGCTGGACATGGTGGTGCACACCGGTAACCCTAGTACCTGGGAAGCTGAGACACGAGGAGGGCAAGTCCAAGGCTAGCCTGGGCCACATAGCAAGACTGTGTCTCCAATTAAGAAGAAAAAGAGGGCCGGGTTGTAGCTCAGTGGTGGAGATCTTGCCTAATACATCCTGTTCAGCCTCCAACTCTGAAAAACACAAAAACAAACAAACAAACAAAACAAATAGCAAGAACAAGAATAAAACACAACAAAAATCCTAATCCATTAGGACATAAATGTGTGCTCCAGCTATTTATTTTTGTTTTAAATTCATCTTGAATTTTCATTCCATGTGCCAGTGAGTACACAAGTGAGTACTTTGGGTTCCAGGAATTGAGCTCAGGTCCTCGGGTTTTCAAGGCAAGTGTCTTTACCCACTGTCATCTTGCCAGCCCAGATGTGTATGTAGGTGATTTATTTGGCTCATGCTCTGGTTAAGTCGATGGGCTGCATCTGATGACATTCGTCTGTCTTTCGGGCAGAGTCCCAAGGTGGCTCAAGGCATCGCATGTTGAGAGACAAGTTCCCGGTTGTTTCTGCCACTTAATGGCCACAGCTCCCTGCTCACAGGTACCAGCATCACCAAGAGACTGAGTGGAGCATCCTAAAGACATGCATGATAGCTAGTGTGTATGCCGTACGCCTCAAGAAACAAAAACACTCCACATGAACTTGGCCTTCACAAAGCATGCTTCTTGGGTAGGGAAGAAAGGTTTACATCCCTGCAAAGTGTCAATGAAGGCCAAACGTTCAGGAAGGCCAAATGTTCAGGAAGTTCTGATGGCCCTTTTTTTTTTTTTCTTTTTGTGACGGTTCCAAGATGGCTTCCATTGCTGCAGCTGTCACATCTGCATTCCAGGCAGGAAAGAGGAGGACTCTGCAAATGTGGAGAGATGGAAGCTTCGTATTTTTGGCTTTAGGAAACAAAGACTTTCCCATGGTAACCTTCCTTCTCAGCAGCAATGTTCAGTTATGTTTCCTTGGCCGTTTTAGGATCAAATGTTCTAGCTGCAAGGGAGGCTGGATGGAGAGAAGTGGAAAAGCCATCATTTTCCTTGCTTGGGATGACCCCTGTGCTGACCACCAGGCTCTGCTTTCATGGGGGAAGGTGCCAATGGATATTGGGTGGACCACTGGTGATACCAGCCCCCATATTTTATTGGTAGTTATTTTGATGGAGAAGAAAGTCCATGCTTTGGAGTTGGAGGCTGGTTGTCTTCCTCTCTGTTCTGCTTTATATTGGATACAAATGTAAACATTTTAACCCAAACTGACAACTGTAAGGTAACAACAATTCCTGCCTTAGTGGGTGGTTGTGAGGATCACCAAGGGTGACACTTCTGAAGACACCAATGAACTATAGTGTCAGTAGGTACTAAGCAGACAGTAGCAGAGGGGCAGAAAGTATTTATTACTTTTCCCTTTGTTGGGACTGAATGCTGTTGGAAACTACTTTAAAAAGGGTTCTCTTTGTTGCTGTTGTTGTTGTTTTGTGTTTATTCTTATTTATTTATTTTGTACTTTTTCCACTTAAAAAATTGAAATAGTATCACATCATTCTCCCCCACCTCCTTTCTCCCTCCAGCGCCTCCCAGCTAGCCCTCCTTAGATGCAAGGATTCATTTTGGCTTATGATTTAAAAAGGAACACAGGTCAGGCATGGTGGCACGTCGCTTTAATTCTAGCACCGAGGAGACAGGAGGCAGGTGGATCTCTGATGAGTTCCAGGCTAGCCAGAGTTACATAGTGAGGCCCTGTCTCAAAAACAAAAACAAACAGACAGCCGGGCGGTGGTGGAGGCGGCGGCGGCGGCGGCGGCGGCGGCGGCGGCGGCGGCGGCGGCGGCGCACGCCTTTAATCCCAGCACTCGGGAGGCAGAGCCAGGCGGATCTCTGTGAGTTCGAGGCCAGCCTGGGCTACCAAGTGAGTCCCAGGAAAGGCACAAAGCTACACAGAGAAACCCTGTCTCGAAAAACCAAAAAAAAAAAAAAAAAAAAAAAAACCAAACAAACAAAAGGGTCACAGCCCATCA